ACGTATGGGTGTGGTGCAATAGGAACGAAATTGCCGCGTCGCGGCGAGAGAGACGCCGCGACGCGGCAAGGGTGTAGCAGAATACAGCAGCAAGTAAGAAATTCACAAACAAAGAACTAGCAGTCATGTCATAGGTAATAATGCATAGCAACTGAGCTGCATAAAGAATGCTAGAACTGTTATAACGAGGCAAATGGTCCGCGACAGCCGCGTGCGGCAGATCGATTACACGAAACCGTTCCTACTGCCCGTCTCCCACTGGCGTATCATTCTAAGATTCATTTAAGATTTCCATTGATATGATAACGGCTTATTTGTTCGGGTTTTTTGATTGGAACTACTCATTGAATCAGAAGTATTTAGGGAATCTGTTCTACTGAAACGTAATAAAGGGCCGCAGTGATGTAGTGGTATGCAGCGCACTATCATGCACGCATGGTCCGGAGATCGAATCTTGGATTAACACTCCCACAGGCCAACACTACCTCTCATCCCTCCGGGGTCATTTGATCAGTACCAGACTAATTGGGGAGGATAGAAGCATTTTCGGGTATAGGCATTCAAAACACCAACACATTCTTGAATGGAAGTCGGATGCGGTGCGCTTCATGAAATCAGTTTGATCAACGTCGAAGACTCCATCCTTTCATCATAGTAAAAGTATAAAAGAAGTAATTCACTTCATAGATTGAACAAATATTTTTGATGGTATTCAGAAGTGTAAAACAGCACTTTGATCGATAATTTTTAATTTTAAAACGTTATACCTTATTATATCTCACCACCTGACTGGTCGAAGGATCACAGTTCAGCTTGTCGCTCAATCAGGCAGCCTTTCCACTATGTTTCTGTGATGGACTGGACTGAAATATCCAGATCCACCCGTGGCTACATACAAAACCCTGAGCACGTACTTTGGCAACCCTTTTTTGGCTTTCCTGCAGACTATTCAGGCAGGTTTCTACAATCTTCAACTTCTTTTGCTGACTGCATTGTCGATTGGTGAAGAAGGCTTTTGAACAGAACCTTAGCAGAGCGACAAGGGAGGCGGTCGTATGCGATGGTGGACGTGGTCTGGTCAGCCTCGCTTTCCTATAAATCTGCTTCTGGTTTCTCAGTCAACGCCTTCAACTCGGCGACACCGATCTCTCTGTCCTGACAAAGATGCTTTTACGGCTGGTCTCGTTACTCCTACTTCCAATTGCCGTCAGTAGTCTCGGCTTTGGTAAGCTCTCTTGCTTGCACATCTAGAATGAACTTCAAGAAATCGTTTTATTTGGAATTTCGCCTCAAGTATTTTCAGATGTAGATGTAGTTACCATTCTTGCAGTTGTTGAGCCGGCTTGTGGAGTTTTTGAGCCTAGTCTAGTACCTTCCTAGGCTAATTCCTCAGACGCATCCCCCTCATTTTGGAATGTTCTTACTGGAAACTAAGGAGCTGGGCAAAACTGGGATTTTGAACCCTTCTCCGGAAACATTCGACGTTTAGGAGGATGTGGATGTGGGCTTCAACTACCTCCGATCTGCCTGCCGTCACTGCCTTCATTATTCGGATGTGCGCCTACGTGTGGGGTACGTTCTTCTCATCATTATCAGTGAAATTTTATATTATGTTTCCGAACCATTCTGATGAAATGGTTTTTAATGAGTGCATTAATAATGAAGAGCATGATCAAAAGAAAGGGAATTGACAGAATCTCAAATTCATGACAAGACCAGGAATTTGAAAGCACCCTTTCTTATGACTGCCTCATATCCGCTTAGTAAAAGACTCGAAAAAGAAGTTGTCGCAATCGACAATGACCTTTTCCTGATAGAAGGGGGCTCCGAGAGTTTCAGGCTTCCTTCCGAATTAGTGGAAATCGAAGACATGGGATTCAAGATGTTCAACAGGACTTTCGCAGTGGGGGCTGTACAAAACAAAACTTAAAATGCTTCAATACTAGAAGTTCTTGAGGCTGATTCTCAAATTTTGCCCATCGGATAAAGCAGAAATTGAGAATCCATCTCAAAAACTGCTGCAAGTTGAGCATTTTGGGACTTGCAGTCCAATTC